ATTAAGAAGGATTTCCCCAAGTACTGGTGGATCCTCCACAATGAAGGTGAGCATGAGATCATCTGTGTCTGCATCTGTTCCTTGGATGACATTTGCTGTTATTTCTGCAGAACCCCCTTCTAGAACATCTAGATAAGAACCAATGGTGCCCGCTGGTAGCATCAGCCTTGGCACCTCATCATCCACTAAGCGCACAGTAATTTTCACAATGATTGTGAGCACATGCACACCATCACTGACATCTAAAGTAAATGAGTCACTACTGGATTCCTCGCCATTGTGTCTGTATGTTATCCTTCCTTTAAGGATGTCATCTAATGTAAATGCTTCTCCAACGTCCATGACATAACTGGAATACGTGACCTGGCCATGCTTTGGAGACTCTGTTAGTGTAAAGGTGATTTTGTCCCTGTCTGTGTCTGCATCTGTGGCATCCAGTTCTGTTGGACTGATAACATGGGTCCCTCTCTCAAATACTGTAAATCCTGAGTTGACAATGCTGGGGGGCTTGTTGTTCACAGGCTGCAGAAATATTGTGAAATCCCCTTCAGCTACATTCCCAGAAGTGTCCTCCACAGTGTAATGAAACTGTACTACACGTGGAGTAATTCCCAATTCTAAATCAGGGGGTTTGTAGGAGATTTTGAGATGGTTCACTTGGGCTTGCGTGAATTCTGTAACTATCTGGTCTGGATTTTCAGTGAGGACAATGAAACCCATGAGCACAGGGTTATTCTGGTCTGTGTCTGATGGTGGGGCAATAACTGTGTATTTGAGGTCTCTGTCATCAGAGTCCAGGTCAGTATATCTAAGACATTTCTTCTTAAAGTGGGTGAGATGATATTCCTGGACTACCATCTTTAGTGTGGTACCAGAATACAGTTCTGGTGGTAAATCGTCTATAGGATTAATTTTGACTACAAATATGTGTTCTCCAGACTGGTTGGGAGGGTCATTGTCATCTTGGACTCTGAAGATAATTTGGTCCATGACAGGTACAGTACTATGTGACCCCTTGTGCTTGTAAAACAGTTTACCATCCAAGATATCCTGCTGAGACCACTCTGTCACCACCTTCTCGTATAGATTTAATTCATGGTCTAGCTGCCATTCAGAGAGATCCAGGGGTATCTCATACTGACGCAGGACCATGTCCCCCATGGATGAAAAAGGGAGTTCCAAAGTAAAAAGAAGAGTAGAGTCTTCTGAGTCAATGTCAGTAGCACTGAGCACAAGGGGAGTTAGAGGGGCCACTTCCTTCTCAGAAATCATCAGTCCTGTGTTGGCATTAACAATGGGTGGTTCATCATCAGTTGGTACTACAGTGATTGGAAAGAGAAACTCCACTTCGTGCTGCCCATCGCTCATACGGAATACAATGTTGTCACTGTATGTGTCACTGCCATCATGCTGATAAATGACCCTGCCTTGGTCCAAGTCTGCAGCTGTGAAGAACTTGGACCCACCAGGTGGGGAGTTGAGAAGAGAAAGCTGACCATGTCTTAGTCCATCCAACACACTTACTCTAACCTCATCCAGGTTGTCCTCATCGCTGATCTGAAGGTTATGGGCACTGGAGAGGGGTCTGGATTGTCCTTCATACAAAAGTTGCCCAGTGTTTCTGGTGATGACCGGAGCCAGGGTATTCATAGGCTTCACTACAATCATGAAAGCGAATGGGTCAGACACTGCACCTTCTGTGTCCACCACCTCTAGTTCTACCTCGAAGACTCTCTCAGTGTTCGAGTCCTCAGGTGGGGGCTTGTAGGCAATTCTGAGCTCCTGCAGGTCTCGCTGGTAGAATGAGGTGATTGGCAAGTTTCGATCGTCGGTGCTAACAATTTGCCCTTGCTTGGGTCCAAAGGAAGAAGTGATATTAAAGATGAGGTCTCCAGTATCAGACTCTGCATCTTCAGCAGCCAACATGTCAGGGGTTATGGCAGTCATGACAAACTGGTCCACCTCCATCATCATCATAGCTATGAAGCTAGGCTTGGGGTGAGTGTTCTCCAGACCTTCTCGAATCCTTACCAGTATCTGAAAGTGTTCCTGTTTCAGCAGATTCCCCCCTTTATCGTGTAGCTCCACCAGCATGGGGATAAAGTCCTTATTGGGGGACTGAGTGGAAGCAGTGTGCTGGTATCGTACCGCTTGCTGCAGAAACTCACCACAAAGCATCATTTGGCCGGGACTATTCAGTATCCTCCCATACCTGGGGAGTCCACCAAGCCCTACCAGGGGTGTGATCCTGCACACCTCAGATTTGCTGTCAAAGGTGAATTCAAGGACCTTTCTGTCAATCGAATTGCTGGTCCCCAAGAGCTTCTCCACAGTCAGGGGCATGTTCCTCGTGACCACCTCCAGCTGGGTGAAGAGTACCTCCACCTGGATCATAAATGGTATGATGACAGTCCTGGTCTGGGTGTCATAGCGGAGCTGAAGTTTAACTCTGTCTTTGGAAGGGCTGCGGGCTCCCAGATGGGAATATTTCACCTCCCTTGCTCCAAAATCGCAGGGGAACCTGTTGGGTGAGAGCTGTCCGGGTCCCTGAGACAGTGGGTCATTGTCCAACACGCTGATGTGACATTTGTCTCCAGGCTGCACTTGTATGACCAGGTCCTGGACAGGATCTATATATACCGACCTCCCGAATGGAACTCTGATCCCATGGTTGGCCACCAGAATCTCATCTTCCAGGGGCCCGTAGGATAAGTAGGAGCCATCCAGGACCCCCCTCTGTGCCTTGAGGTCTTCTGCCAGCAACAGCCATAACCCCAGGACCATCAGCACTGTGTGTGTCCTCCTGCCTGCTGCAGCCCTGCTGCCAAGTCCCCAGACCGTCATGTTTACCGCCCCCAACCAGCAAGACCAGGTGCCTCTCAGTCAGCCTCTACTCCACGCTCAGCAGGCAAGCCCTTTAAATCCCAGCGTGGGCATTTAAATCGGTGGAAGCGGCAGCAGGGGATACAATCCAGGGAAGCCTAAAGAGACAGCTCCAGCCTTCTCTCCCAGTGCAGCTCTCTCTGTGTGAGGCAGAGCTTTAATCTCCAGCGAGTCCCAGTGCAACAAGTGGGAGGGTCATGGAGCCCACTGACTGCCTATTGGCTCTCTGGCCCCTGGGGAAAACTCAGTGGACTGGGTGAGTGGGCAGAAGAGCTGTCGATCTCTCCCCCCTCTGGAGTGGAAGCTAACAGGTTGTCAGAGAGGTGACCTGCACAGGCAAATGTCCAAGAGGACAGCACAGGGTGATCACCGGCGCAGGACTCCAAGGGGACCTTGTGAGCTTTGTTTCCAGTCCATTGGATTAACTATTACAGTGAAGTAAAACAGCAGCCAGAGGAGAAGAACTGACTCCCACCCAGCACTGTAACCGACCCCCACTTACCGCACACATGGCTGCTATGGGCTCACGTTTTATCCCTGCAGACTGACAGCTGCTGTGAACACACATGGGGTCTGACAGCTTTTTATTGCTATTAATATAAAAGTTTGCGTTGCATGTAATCAGCAGTGACAGGGTTAAACACACCGATCTAACATACTTTCATAGAAAAGTTTGGAGCTGAAAGGGTTAAAGGTATGGTAATTAATAACCTGACAACTAATGGAGTTTATATACATATTTATACAGTCTTCTTAACATAAAATTGCGGGTAACTAAATATCAATTTAATTAAGGAAATCTGTAGAATGTAGAGTGCAGGCTGCAGGGTTGGGGTGATTTTTCATGCAGCCCTGCTATGTGAATTGTCTATAAGGATCCTCAGACAAAAGAAGGTTTGCTTGTAGCATAAGTAACACATTTACTAGGTGGGTCTCAAACTTGTTAGCAGGTAGCCCAGTGAATGACCAGAGCTATGGGTAATCTTACTTTAATTCAGGTTTTATGTAGGGCTAACTTCAAGAGAAAATGTAAAATGAAATCAAACCATTTACAGCAGTTATAGTAATCACTAATAACAGATGGTAATTTTATATCTTTCTTATTGTTTTTACACTTTGTAGCTGGCTCCACTGCTTTGCAACGTTCTTACTTCTTGTTAGCAGGTGTGATTTCCAGCCACAAACCCTAAAAAACTGTTACCTTGTGGCTATCTCATAAACACCCACCGCATGCAAACAATGCTGTAACTAGACTCCTACAAGGGACAAAACATTCTCTTTATTTCAGTTCATCCAATTAAATGAATTATGTCATAAATTAAATTATTACATTTTGTTGTCCCAGATTCTATTAAATAATTCTGGAAAAATAAATAAATATAGATATAAACAGGTAAGGGATTCAAACTGAAATGCACCATCAGGGACATGTTGCCACTGGGGGAGAGAGAGCATTTGGTCACACATACCTTCAATTTTATTTTAACCCTTTCACTTCCAAGAGGTTTGCAAAATAAGCAACCTCAGAATCCAAGTATTGTTTAAATGTGTATGTTTATATACGTGAATGTGTATATATATATATGTATATATATAAATATATATATATTATTGTTTTTGATATTTTTTTTTATATATATACTTTTTTTTAATAATTAGAGCTGATATTTTACATATTTCTTATAATCGGTATTGGTCTTGTAATATACCGATCTTACGGTTAATGTACTTAAATCTTCCAGTCACTGCTCGCCATCTTCCACATCTGGAAACTCCATCCATCAGCCAGTGGGGCGTCAAGTCGTGACCTCACTTCATCCCTCCCGGTGAGTCCCTGCATGCAGAGCAATGTGCTGAGCGGGCTGCCTGAGAGTGATAGGAGTGTAATTGCTAACAGCAATCAAACTATTATTAATAACAGCACTGTACATGCTGGGATCCCAGAATTTACTTGATGCCTGAGAGTGATAGAAGTGTGATTGCTTTCAACATGTTCAATTAATATCAGATTTGTTTAGAAATTGTGTTGTCGATAATCTATATCAGCATCAGCTCCGGGAAAATGATATCAGTTTATCCCTAAATTTTCTATATATATATGTGGTGTGTGTGTGTGTGTGTGTGTGTGTGTATGTGTATGTGTGTATATATATATATATATATATATATATATATATACATATATATACACACCACACCAAACAGGACCCTAGGTATAGACTGTGCAAAAAGGATTCTGTGTACTGAAGCCCCCGGCCAGAATATGGGCTGGACCCAGTGGCGGATCCAGAGCCTGATTTCAGGAGGGGCACTTGTAAATTATTTTAAAAAATAATCCAGACAAAATAACCACTACAGCTCAGTGTAGTGGTTATGGTGTTAATAGTGCTGGGATCCCCTCCCAGAGTAAGTAGTCAAACCGTTTAAGAACAGTTTGACAACTTACCTAAGGTCTATTTGGAAATGGGGCTGTAGTAGGGCATAGGAGCAGTGGTGTGTGTGAGTGGTGCAATGTGTAAGGGGTGCAGTGTGTGTGTGAGGGGGACAGTGTGTAAGCAGTGTGTGTGTGTGTGTGTGTGAAGGTTGCAGTGTGTGAGTGAGGGCAGCAGTGTATGTCAGGGGTGCAGTGTGTGTGTGTTAGGGGGACAGTGTATGTGTGTGTGACATTTGCTGTGTGTGTGTATGGGGGGCAGTGTGTGTGTATGGGAGAAATGTGTGTATGGTAGGCAGTGTATGTGTATGTGGGGGGGGAGCAATGTGTGTGATTATAAAAAAAGCCCCCTACCCTTCTTATCACACACACACACACACACACACACACATTGCCCCCCCCACACCCGACACACACACATACACTGCCCCATTCATACATATTAATTAAATTTAAAAAAAACAACACATATTATTTAATTAAAACAAATATACATTTACGTCCCCCCTTCCTTCTTACCTTTACTGGGAGGAGGGGTGACATTTATCCATCCCTGGTGGTCCGGTGGGGAATCCCTCGTGGTCCCAGTGGTTAGAGTGAACTCTAGCCCATAGCTCCAGGGCTAGAGTTCACTCTCGCAAGATCCGGAGCATTGCCGTGGTAACCGCGGCAAAGCTCCGTGCTCGCAAGAGTAGGACCCGGAAGAGCTGCAGGCTGAGCTCTTGGGTCATCTCTCTCTCCCTCCCTCCCCTGCCGGCTGCCAACACGGTGCCTGTGTGCTGGCAGGGGAGAGGGAGACCCTCGGTTTTCTCGGTTTTGCCTTGTTGCCCCCCCCATCCCTGGATCCGCTACTGGCTGGACTTGCCTTAGTCCAGATGGGAGATACCACAAAGTGTAGTGAGAATGACATGGCTAAGATCCTGTGGCACTTCCAGATTCACAAGAGGCAGCTCTAGACTTTATGGGGCCTTAGGCGAAACTCAAACATGAGGCCTCACTAACACCCAAAGTGAAAAAAAATAGGATTGCATTTTCTGTGTGTAAGGAGCAGTCGCTATATTGAAAGGCGGGCTTGCAGTGCTGAATACAGAGAGTTAGTCTCTGCATTCATTGTTCAGAAGCTTGCAGTGTCACAGCTCCCTGTGCCCCTGCATTGTGAGCTCTCTGGCTGTAGTTGTAGCATAATTTGCAACAAAATTAATTTGCAATAGATACATTTAATTTGCAAGTAGGTCAATCGTTTATGCACAATTGTGGGGTTGCATAGCCAGGAAGTCGTGTATACATAAGTACTGGTGTGAAAGGGTTATTGGAAACAAAAATGAAAATTTTGTTTGAGCAAAAAGCTTTTAAAAAATAATTTACCAAATAATAACCTGTGTATGATGTATGTCTTCGGCTGGTAACTGTGAGAGGGTGAGTAAAGGGGTACCAGTGGCAGGGGGAGTATGACAGGATGAAGGAAGTAAATGTGACAGGGTGGGGGGAGTTGTGAGAGAGAATGAGGGAGGACTAGTATGACATGGTTTAATGAGGTAGTGTGACAGGGCGAGTGGAGGTAAGTGTGTCAGGGCAATAGTGGCATGGTAGGAGGGATGACTGGGACAGGATTGGAGGGGTTAATGTGACACGGTAAGTGTGGCATAGTTGGGGGGTGAGTATCACAGGGTTGGTGTGAAGGATGAATGTGGCATGGTTGCAGGAGGGAGTGTGACAGGATTAAGGGGGGTAATGTGACAGTGAGTGTGGCATAGTGTGATAGGATTAGAAGCATTAATGTGACACATAAGTGTGGCAGGGTTGGGGGGAGAGTGTGACAGAGTAAGAGAAGATGAGTGTGACAGAATTAGGGGGATTCATTTGAAAGAGTGTGGCAGAGCGAGGGCAAGTGCAAGTGTGACAGGATTAGCAGGGGTTAATATGAGTGTGGATGTGTCAAGGGGCTGAAAGTGTGGTGGGAATGACAGTGTGGTGAGTGGTGACAATGTGTGGGGATGTGACAGTGTGTGGGGAGGCTGACAGTGTGTGAGAGTATGGTGAAACTACATTGTGGGGGGTTACTGTGTGTGTGAGGCACAGTGAGTGACAGTGTATGTGAGGGAGTGACCCTGTGTGTGTGAGGGGGTGACCCTGTAAGGCACAGTGGGTGGCACTGTGTGGGACAGGGGTGACACTGTGTGGGATAGGGTGGTAGTGTGAGGAAGGTAGGTGATGGTTGTGTGGGAGGGAGTTTTACTGTGAGGGAGGGGTAATGCTGTGAGGGAGTGGGGTGATGGTGTGTGAGAGGGGGTAATACTGTTAGGGAGGGGGTAATATTGTAAGGAAGGTAGATGGTGTGAAGGAGGGGCATGATAGTGTGAGTGAGGGGGCTGATAATGTGAAGGAGGGGTTAATACTGTGGGGGTAAGATACTGGGAGGGAGGAGGTGATAGTGAGTGGAGGGAACACTGGGAGGGAGGGGGTAAAGTTGGGAGGGAGGGGTATACTGAGAGTGAGGGGGTAAAGTTGTGAGGGAGGGTATACTGGGGTGAAGATTGTGAGGGAGGGGTATGCTGGGAGGGAGGGGTGTAGTTGTAGGGAGGGTATATTGGGAGCAATACAGTGAAGTTGTGAGGAGGGTATAGTGGGAGGGAGAGGGTGAAGTTGTGAGGAGGGATACTAGGAGGGAGGGTAAAGTTGTAATGGAGGGGTATACTGGGAGGTGGGGATACTGCATGAAGCGGGTGAAGTTGTAGGAGGTGGGATACTGGGAGGAGAGGGGAATTAAGTTTTGAGGGGGATACTGGGAGGGGGAGTGAAGTTTTGAGGCAGGGAAGATACTGGAAGGGAGGGGGGGTGAAGTTGTGAGGAAGGGGGGATACTGGGAGGGAGGTGATGTTGTGAGGGAGGGGAGATACTGAGGGAGATACTTTCTCCCGGGCGGTCCAGTGTGGGCTTCCTGGTGGTCCAGTGTGGGCTCCCTGGCAGTTCAGTGTGCAGGATATCTGGTCTGTGGCTCCACAGTGTGCAGAGCTGCAGACCATGTATCTCGTGAGACCTGGTCAGAGCATTGCCATAGTAATCCACAGCAATGCTCTGAGAGGTCAGATCTCACAACACACATGGTCTGCAGCACTGCACACTGCGCCGGCTCCCCTCAGTCCCCGAAGACTCGACACAGTCTGCCCTGAGGCAGTTCAGGCGGGCGCAAGGCCCCAGCCAGCACAAGGCCTTAGGCGGCCGCCTAAACCACCTGATCAGAGAGCCGCCTCTGACCATAACATCAAGAAGAAGGAAAATGAGAAGGTGGACAAAAACCAAGGACTGAAAGAGGAACTAGAAAGGATGTGTATAGTGAAGGCTGTAGTACTCCAATTTGTGACAGGACTTGGGTTGATAACCCCCAAGTTGGGTAAGTGGCTTCGGTAGATCTCTGTCCAGAACCCTCTGATTTCCAGGTCTTTGGTAGAGGGCGTGAGTATGACAAGATGAGTGTGGCACAATGAGAATGATGTGACTTGTTGCAGGATGATAGTGACAGTGCAAGGTGGGGTTAGTGTAACAGGGTGTGTGGGGCACTGTGAGTGTAAAGGTTTGGGGTTGAGTGCAACTGGGTTTGTGGGTAACAGGGCTGAAGGTGAGTGTGACAGAGTTGGGGGCTTAGTGTGACAGCATGAAGAGATGAATTTGGCAGGGTGAGTGAGAGGGTGAGAATGGTGGAAACTATGTATGGGGTGAAATCTGTGGGGAGTTGACAGTGTGTTGGGTGGCTGTGTGGCTATGTCCAGCCTCCTTACACACTGCAATACCTTTTTTATATATATTTATTTAAATTTGCCCCGCTCCCCTTATTTCTATGCAGAGAAGGGGTCAATAATCAATTCCCTGATGGTCCTGTGTATCCCCTGGTAGACTGGTCGGCTGCAAGTGCAAGCCCAATATCAAGAAAATTGGACTCCACTAGACCACATTCTACCTTCTTTCTGTGAACACATGAGTTAAGAAGTAACAAAATGCTGCTGCCTCATTCCCCCATTCTTTAGTGCAGTGGGCCGAGAGGTAATAATATCAAGAACGGCCAGGGGTGTGCTTATGCTCACTGACCCATATATTAAAGTACCAGGACATGCCCAGTCTAGCCTAGCTTGCCCATACTAGTACTAGTAGCAGGTGAGTACTTTGCTCATTTTAAAAGGGACACTCCAGGCACTATAACCACTATGGTGCCATGTGCTTGTTTCTTCTAAGTTTGGAGGGTTCGTTGGTCGACACAATTAGCTAATGAATGCTTTCCAAATATGAATGCATTGATTCTGCTACCACAGCAATTTAAATTGCAAGATGTCAATATGCTAGGTATAGGACAGATCAAAAACGTTTGTCACAAAATCGTGGAAGAGTGCTAATACCATAACTATTACAACTGTCTTTACTGGTTATAGTGCATAGAGAATGCCTTCCCTGGTGACTTTTACCAGACCAATAAAATGCATTTAAAGTATGTACATATGTTTGATCGGATAATAAAGTAAATACAAAACATTAGCTTGCCGCATCTTCAGTTACAACACCTTTTCTTTAAACTTGCGACTTCAGGGGGCCATGGCACCTTCTATTGCTGGAGTTTATGATACTTATCAACACTTACACTAACTATAGTCAAGCTCTACATCTTTATCTGGTACACTGTGTCATCCACTGTGAGCATCTTTTTTTGGAAGTTCTTGTTCAGCCTTGTCGTGCTAGCCATAATTAAATTAAACTCTGGATCATGTCCTTAGATGCTCCTATCTGCAACTT